GAAGCTGTTCTCTTGTTCCTTCCCGTGTTCTGCCTTCTGGGCCTTCGCTCCTGCAGACATCAGCTCCTCCCTGGCACCCCTACTTGGACCCTTCCAGTCTTGTCAGGGTGCAGCACTGGAAGCCTGTCCTCAGGGCCCAGCAGAGGTGGTTTCTCCCCTTTGAATCTAAGGAAGGTGACGCTACCTCCCACCTGGAGCACAGGACCCTCTGGGCCATGCAAACCTGTGTATCTTTGCCCTTTCCCTCCCTGAATGGGCACTCTAAGGGGAGTGTCTGGATCCAGATTCATTCCTGTCTGCCCCCTGGGAATCTGTGAGAACCTAGTGGATTGCGGAGCTCCCCCAGCCCTGTGGAGCTGGTAACAACTGAGCCTTCAGGTTGACTCCCTGCTCTGACCTACTTAGCTGGTTGTGGCGGTTGGAGAATTGGGGGCTTACTACAGTTGCCTTAGGAGGAAGAAGGTGTTTTACCTCTTAATCTTTGCTTTGGATTCTTAGTTTTCTTTAAAAGTAAAAGCACTGTTGACAGAAAAACAGACATCTATTATCTGTGCCAGTTTGTGCGCTCTCTTCTCAGGAGGCATTTAACTCATCTTTTATTTTAACGTGACTGTAATTATTTCCATTTAGACACCATCCTTAAAGTTCAGTCTCAGAGAGGTTAATTAACTCACCCAAGTACGTGGCAGAGCTGCCGAGACCCGAAGGTTTTGCTTCTGGAATTGTACTTTGCCTCTGGACCCTGCAAAGAGCTGTGAGAGTGAGTCAGTGTGGGGAGTCAGGCGGAATCTGCAGGGGCTACGTGATGCGGCGCACCCGTGCGAGGACGTCTTGCCGTAGGAGGGGAGAAACCCTGAACGGTAGCCGTGCTGCTCCTGGGAGTTAGCGGGTTGAACTACTTCACAGTGCGCCCCAGCGTCCCTCGGGCAGCGTGTGTGTGTGTGTGTGTGTGTGTGTGTGTGTGTGTGTGTGTACGCGCGCATGCGTGCCACCGACTCTCCTGGGTGTGGCTCGGCACCTGTTAATTCAGTCAGTTGATTCCTGTTTGTAGGAGCTATAGCCCCGCGCCTGTTCGCTTGTTATATCTACTATTTTTGCCCACTTTTAAATTTAGAACTTTGTGTTTACTTCTGATGTTTGATTCTAGTGAAATCTAATAATAAATTCAGGTGTTTCCTTTTACTAATTTGTGGCTATTTGTGAAAAAGCCCTATAGTTTTGTCCTATAAGCTGTAAGAATTCTTATCATAAGTACATTAGATATATTTTTTGCATTTCTCCAGAATTCAGCGCTATGCTTTTATAATACAGAACGGACACATTTGGAACACTGAAACTGAACAGTTATGAGATGGAACGCGAAAAAGACGTCTTCTTGTTGTCACCTATTCCTCATACAAAAATGATAGAATTTGAAAGAAGAAACAAAGCTGAAAGATTCTAATAGTGGTAAATGATGAGTAATTTTATGCTTGGCATTGACAAGGGGCGTCTCCCTTATGTTGCATTCGGGCTACTGCCCCAGGCTGGGTGGAGTACTCACACACATAATCCCAGCAGCACTCACACCCATAATCCCCGCACTGGATCATGAATTAATCACAAACTCTAGAAGCTGCCCCATGATTGCATGAAGCTTTGAGGGGACAACTAGACACCATCCACACCACTGCCTTTGCTTTATTCTGAGCCCACATTAGCTCCTGTGCAGAGCCTCCTGGGAAGCTGTTCTCTTGTTCCTGTGTTCTGCCTTCTGGGCCTTCGCTCCTGCAGACATCAGCTCCTCCCTGGCACCCCTACCTGGAGGTAGGGCATGGAGGTGGAAGCCTCTCCTCAGGGCGTGGAGCTGGAAGCCTGTCCTCAGGGCCCAGCAGGGGTGGTTTCTTCCCTTTGAATCTAAGGAAGGTGAGGCTGCCTCCCACCTGGAGCACAGGACCCTCTGGGCCAAGCAGCACATGTTCACCAACATCCTACCAGTGATCCTGTAACCAAAAAGTGAGGAGAAACATATTATTGTAAAATATTTATGCACCTTCTGGACTAAAAATATGGAGCTCAATTGTTATTTATTCAAAATTGGGGAGGTTCAAAAAGTCATTTACACCTTAGATTAAGTCTAACAGACCCACTAATTGAAAAATGTGGGATAGTGAAATGCCAGCCAGGATGTCCCTCATCTATGTCTTCAGCATTCCTTTCAGTGGGCAGATATTTTATTCAAATTATACCATCCATTGAAGAAAAGGAAAGGCCAAATGACAGTGTAAAGTGTGTATTCAAAGAAAGACAATAATGCAAAAAGTTTAGAAAGAGGCCCCAGATACTCTTGTGCAGAGTGTAACGCTGTGCTATGCAGCGAACGCTTTAAGATACACCATAGACAGAAAAATTACTGAATACATTTGATAAAATTGTCATTTTAATATTTCCCATTATATCATTTTATAAAAAGTTAATGAGAAAATGTGCAGTGTTTTGATTATCCTGTATGTAAATAATAGCACTGGTAAGCGGTTAAAGGAGTTTGAGTAGGATTCGACACTAAAAATCACTCTCACTTTGTTTTGAAGTAAACTGACAGTTCTGGAAGCTCCAGATCTTGAATGTTCAGTAGTGAGCAGATTTCTGCAACAATTGTGTAGAGGAGAACACACTTGTTCTAAAGCTAAGGGCACGCTTTGTTAAGTCCCTTCTCACAGGCCAGGGCCTGGCCAGGCCTCGTACTGGCTCACGGAACCTAGAGCGTGGGAAACGTGCACTTCACCTAGGTGGAAGCAGGCATCTGAAGCAGCATCCTCTGCAAAATCCATTCCAGCTCTATTTATGACTTCGAATCAGACTGGAGTGTTACAGATTATCTTTAGCTTCTTGACTGTATGAAATATATATAATTTTCCCCCTTGGTTTCTTCTCCCTGTATTGCTCAAGTATTAGGTGAGGACTTAGAAGCAATGCTTCTCCTCATTGGAGATGGCGTGTGTTGTGAGCAGGTAGTAAATAAAAATGCGCCCTAGTTGACGGGTTAAACACTCATGAACTTGCTTTCTTTTTATCTTTTAAGGCTCTTTAATTGTATCTCTTCCCTGCACTGCCCTCTCTCTAGTCCTCAGTGCGCAGACTTTCCCGGATGCCCAGGTCTTCCAGTTTGCTGTGCGTCGCTGCCCCTCCTGTCTGCAGGGCCCTCGCCATTTCTGCAGAGGAGCAGAGAGCAGCCTTGCACAGAGGCACCACGACGCTCCTCACTCTTTCCGCTCCACCAGGGCAGACGGCCCATGTTTGCTGATTCCTGACTTAAACAGGTCAAGCCAGCACTATTTGCAGCTTCTCAATCTGCCTCTCCCTTGCCCTGATGCATCTTATGACTGCTTCATCCTCTCAGAACCAAGGCCAGGGAACTCAGAATTCCCATGTTGGACATAAGCAATAAATATGTACTAAGTGATTCTGCAGGAGCATCTTCCCGAGGGTGGGAGACCACCATCCCTTCTCCAGAGCATCAAGGCCCAGCCCATGCAACGTGGGGTGAATGGACACCAAGTACCTCTGCATTCCAGGCTCTGTTTTGTGTTGCAGTGACAGGCATGAACAAGTCTGTCGAGGTCTCTGTCATTACAATGCTTATAATCTACTGTAGGAGTCTTAGGTAAATAGCTACACACATATTTATCAAATGATGATGCTGTTATACACTATTACAATGGTTTCCTGAGCAAGTATTTGTATATTGGCATTGGAAATGAAGGAAAATGATAGAGAGATTGGCTTGATCCTATAAGTTGTACTTAGCCCAAGTGCTCACTGATTCCCACAAGAGAAAGTTGCAACCTTATTTCCTGAATCCAGGATCATTGCAAAGGAGGTCATGGAGCAGAGATGAAGTGGGCCTTGGGATTCCAACGAGGAAAGAACTGGGAGACCAGAGGAGAAGGTCTTCTACATCTAAATTAATATCTCTGAGTGATTGATTGGATTAACTTCTAGGTATTGGAGAAACTGAGAGGCTGGAGGCTGCTTGATGTCTGGGCTGCTTGGATTCACACTTGAGTCTTGAGAAAATCTTTGGAAGTTTATGCAGTGGGTTAATATTATTCATATTAATATTAATGATTCACTGAATATTAGCAATAGAGAGGTCAGAGAGATGACTCAAAATACTGCTCTTCATTCCTGGACCAAGAGTTATCTGGAAACTTAAAAAATAGAGATACTCAGTATATAGATTTGGTAGATAGAATGGAGACAATGTCAAGAGACAGGGATGGGAAATCTGTGTACGTTTAGTCTTGTTGGCTGAATGCTGGATGAAGGGAATCCACGCATTCGCCTCTTGTGGCATGGTGGATGCTATCAATCTGTGCATTATTTTAAATATAGAAATCATTTCTGGAATATTTCTCAGATATTCATGATTTTGATAACTTATGTAAATTTATGATTCCTGGAACCAGGTCAGAACACTTTGAAACCCGTGCCTGTCTGGGAAGTTAGATGTCTCTTGCTAGTCTTGGAATGGGTATCTAGAGGGGTGCTTACTCCTCTGGGGGGTAAGCACACACGTGTGTGCTTTCATGCGTGTGGGCAACGATGCTCACATGGCGTTTCCAGCAGCTGTTCCTGAGAGTGGATGAATTTAGCCTTGAGCATCTCTGCCCAAGGTGGGATCTCTGTTATATTTGGATTACACAAATGTGAGACAAAGTACCATATAGAATAAAGAGCTTTGTTCCTTTTCAAAAGCTACCATTGTATACCTAAAAGAACACTGTTTGCAACCATGACTTATGGAGTTATTATAGATAGGCTTTCATTGATTTAATCATCAGATATTTAGTTAGCACCTCATATGCCACACATTTCACTATGTTCATTCTAGAAATTTAGAGATGCCTAAGACCTGATTAGCAGTCATGGAGGCCTTAGACTTTAGCTGGGAAAACATCCAGGTGCAGAGATTGCTGCTCCAACACAATGTGATAAAGAATTTGCATTTCTTTCTCTAGCTGCCCACAGTGTCGGGCACTTACCAGGGGCTCATGAAATGTGACGGGTCCCCTGAAGGGGCAGTGCACTCGTACCAGAAGATGTAGCAAGCTGCCCACTCTGCTGTTCCCCATGGGCACTGTGGCCTTTGCTCCTTGAGGTAGGTCTTTCATATTTTCATGCAGCCATACACAGGCTGTTTCATGGATCTATGGTCAGAGGGCCCAATTTATCAAACCTGAGCTTCTAAAACTAAGGAGTAGTAACTCTGGACTGATACATTCTTTTTTTTTTTCTTCCAAATTGGTATGTGCTTTCCATTTCTCTTGTAGAACAGTAAAAATAATATGAAAGTTTTAAAGTCAGATTTTTGCATTCATTACCTTTCTGTGCACAAGAAATACATTAGGTATTTTACAGAAATGATCTTAATTTTTTAAGTTACAGGAGTTTTTTTGTAGCTGAAGTTTTTTACTAACTCGTGATTACTTGTCTTCTGGTTTGTTGAAGCAGTAAGTCAGACAACACTTGCCACAACAATGTCTGTCAAGGTGGCTGGCCATAAAAGTCCCACACCACACCCATCCGAAGGGCGCTCTTAATGAAGATGACTACTTTTGCCATTTTCATCCACCTTGTAGTATTTTAGGGCAGCCGACTTCACCTTCTTTCCCTTGTGCTTATTCTTCTTGGGAGTGGTGTGAGACTTCTCTTCCTTTTCTTAGCACCGCCGCGGAGTCTCAACACAAGATAAAACGTAGACTCCTTGTGAATGTTGTCTCCATTTTATGAAAGGAAAAATTGAACTGTAGGCAGAGGAACTAACTTACCAAGTACACAACTAGGAAATAATAGTCTCAAGTTCAAGTTGGTCTAATTCAAAATATCGCAATTAAAAAAAGTTTATCTTTTCCTCTGTATCTTTACATATATATATATATATATATATATATATATATATATATATATATATAATATGTGTGAGCAAATACATATTAATATATTATACTATAATAATTATATATATAATATATATGTTCTATAACATCAGGATAAATGAGTATATAATATGGAATGTTTAAGGAATATTTGATTTTGAATATATAAGATATATTGTCTTTGTAAAGATTTTTACTTGCCCTCAGACATATAGTAAACAGCTCCTGAGGTTGTGCTTGATATTGTCATGAACAAAGGGGACACAATATTGAGCATCCAGGCATAGTCTAATAAAACAAGGCAGTTTCAAAAATCAAATTAAATAATTGTAATTCAGTGATTACTGCAAAAGATACATCATACTTCTTTTAGTCCTGGGAGACCTTGAAGAACAATGTCAGATGTCAATTCCTACGTTGGAGGATCTCAGCTCTGGGGCACGCATGAAAGTCCTGTGTAAAAGTCCCACAGTGATGCCACCCCGCCACTGCCTCCTCCTGTCTCCTAGAGCACACAGTCAATGTGAAGTGAGTAAGTCACATGAACTGGAAAATAAAGTATGAGTCGTAGGGAGAGAGAAAAATGAGTTTGTCTCTGAGGGCAAAGCTTCCATTGTTCACTGGGATCAATGACATCGATTCTGCTCAGTGGCACAGAAAAGCAGTGGCTTTGAGATGGAGATGTTGACTAGCAGCAAAAGGCTGAGGGTAGCAGCTGCAGTAATGAGAGAAAGATGCTGGAAGTTTGAGTATCGATGGGAAGACTTTGATTTATCTCTATCCATCCACGCGCCGAGTTTGGAGCAATTGTTCATGTGGCTCTTTAAACAGGGAGTCTCGTAGAGATACAAAAACTGTACTTGGGGCTTCAGGACTAGTTGTTGAGATATGGGTGGACAGGGAAGAAAAGGGACTGGATGTCAAGAAGCCCATTCCCCCACCTACTGGGCCATCCACTTGCACTTACATCGGTTAACTGTGGCCTTGGGTTCCCTAGGCAATAGTCACAGTGGTTGGACTCTTCCCAGTTCAAGTGTCTTCCAGATGCTGGGTAGACCTCAGTGATCTACAGTGTCCCTGGTAGGCAAGGTCTTGGCCTGAGTGGGGAAGGCTCATGGATGTGCCTGTGGTTGCCACGCAATCATATCTGCCCTGCTGGATACAGATGAAGTGCACAAGGCTTTCATTTTTCTTCTGTCTTAGTGACCTGTATCCTTCAACAACATCAAAAGCAGCCAAGTGAGTTCCAAGTCTTGCTCACAGCATCCACTGATTCCTCTCTGTAGCATGCAGAAGCAGGGCATGGGGAGAGCAGGAGCCGTGTGTCCTACCCTGGGTTTCTCATTATCTATGAGAAAGATAAACAAACCCAGCTATATGAATGTAGCACCATCTGCATGAATAGGCATTTCATAAATACTTATATTGTATAATGATATGCTGGTGTGTGGGTGTGTGTGGGTGTGTGTGTGTGTGTATTTTTGTTTTTTTGTTTGATTTTGGAGGCAGGGTCTTGCTATGTAGTTCAGACTGACCTTTAACTCACTGTGTATCTCAGGCTGGCCTCAGCCTTTTGCCTCACCCTCCTGAGTGTTGAGATTGCAGACACGCACCATCACAACTGGAAATGGGAATAAAACATACATAACTTTTTTCATGATGCATTTCTGAATTATGATCTTTCTGAAGTGTACCTGACCCTCTGGATCTTACTGTAAAGGAAATTTGGATCTAAAACGATAACTTTTTTAGAGATTATGTTGATGTAATCAAACAGGTACAAACGTGAGCATGTGCATGCGTAAAGTCATCTTGGAAAATCAGATTAGCGAAAAGATTTTTCTCAACGAAGCTCTAATTCTTGCCTCCATGTTTTTAGCAGCATTATTGAGATATCATTGACCTGTCATACGATGTCCTCTCTGAACGCGTGTGATTGCAGGCGTCTACGACACTCAGCGTCGGGCAGTCATCATGCGATCCGTGCTGGAGCACACGCACTAGCTAGAGGGAGCTCTGCACTCTGCAGCCGCAACTCCGATGCCCTCCTTGTTGCAAAGTTCTGATAACTTTCAAAAGGTCTTGCCACTTTGGTGCCTCTCCCGAGTATTCGGATTAAGTGCACTGCAGCACTCTCTTCATTCCGGGCTATTATTTGTTTCCCTTTTTGTCTTTTCTATGGATTTATAACATCCTGGTGGGTAAGGCCTTGTGTTTTATTGAACTTTAGATGTTTCTTCTCTGCCCAGTGCCTGCCACATGTTCAGGGTTAGAGATAGGAGGAAGGAAAGAGGAAAGAAGGAAGGAGGGAGGGCAAGAAGAAAGGAAAGGGAGTGAATGAGACAGATAGAGATATAGATGCAGACACTGAGACAAAGACACATAGACACTCAAAGAGACATACATACAGAGGACCAGAAGAAGAAGATGATGATGAAGAAGAAAAGGAAGAGGAGGAGAGGAGTAGGAGGAAGAGGAGGAGGGGAGGAAGAGGGAGAGGAGGAGGGGAGGA